CCGGCTGGCTGCAAGTGCGGGGCAGAAACCCCCTTCTCGCCCGCGCGGGGGTTTCGGACAGGCCGTTTGGGGAGGCGCCGGGGTGGGGCATGTCGCGACTGGAGCCTGTCGCGACCGGAGCCGGTCCCTCCCTGTCAGGTTGCTGGGCGCTTGGGACCGGCGCTGTTAGGCTGGCTGCCGGTCCGTAGAGCATCCTTACTCGTTGGCTTTTAACCACGTATTTACTCAAATCCAGAATGTCGAAAGAGCAAACAGATCAATTCTGTAATGCACTGCAAATACGTTTTGCTCGGGGGAATTAATTGACTTTTATGCTGCTTAACAAAGTTTCAGCACTAGCTTTATTGTGTGAGTGCTGCCGAGTGACTATTTAAGTTGTCATATTGCCATTTGTCTGAGGTGTGATGAGTCTCCTTAGTGATTTCAGCAGAAGTTTGGTTGCCCTGCTGACAGCAAAGCACGCTAGGTAGAAAATGATTTCATTAACGTGAAATCCTTCTGCGCCGTACCTTTTAACCGAAAATGGCATTTATGGAGCTACCTCCCTCCCTTGTGCATCCGGTATCTTCCCTTGCCTTGGTGTCACAGTTAATCGGGAAAACAACTATGCTGCTGTAAAGAAGTGTGTCTTTTAGTAACGTCCGTGGGAGCTGAGGGCTCTGAGCCCTTCGCAAAGCTGAGCCCAGGCTGTCTCCTACGGAGCGGGCGTTGCAGGCAAGGGCGTAACAGGAGGGAGGCTTGGCTTGGCTACGGGCGTGCGTCGTGCCCCCCGGTCTACCGCTGGTGCTCGATGGAGCTCTAGTCCGTGCTGATAGATGGCGTTCCTCAGGCAAAGAGTTTAAACTCTGGGATTTCCTACCCAAAATGAGCTGGAACGCTCTTGTCTGTCATCTTGCACTTTACTTCTTTGTCCATCCGCTACCCGTGCTGTAGGATTGCTTTTCCTTCACTTATTTTTTTTTTCATTTGGTAGAAATAAATGTTGCGTTGCAGCTTTTGATGGAGACAGCTGACGACTGTAGCAAGCCGTATGTCAGAGCGAGTCCCGGTTTCCTGAAACATCTGCAAGAGCCCGAGCCGGAGCCGCGCGTGGTAAAAAGACGCTTGTCGCAGGCACGCCACCGGGCCAAGCTGGCAGGACTCTTCAACAGCTTGCGGGAAACTGTTTTATCTCAGTCAGACAACTCGGCCTCAAAGGTGCGGAGCAGTGACTGCGTTTGTCTGTTTATCACTATTCCACGTGTGTATGCTTAAAGTTGACTAGCTTTACTGTGATGCGCAGCGTACCTTTAGGGGGGCCGGTGTGTGCATCATCTCACCGCGTGCAGTTTCCCTTGGGTGCCTTTTACTTTGCAGCTGTCAGCTCAGCGAGAGCAAATTGCTCACTTTCTCGTCTCGGTGTCAGGGGCTTATCATGTGGCTCGTGTGCACTTTTCCTGTGGGGGTTTTGCTGCTTCTTAATAGCAGTATTTTGGAAACCAATCAAGGAATCCCATGATGAAAGTAGCGTGATTTCGCAGCTTTTTGCTATGAAATCAAAACTGGTGAGTTCAGGGGCAGAAGTTGCAGGGAATAATTTATTCAGCGTTATGAGTTGCACTTTGTCTTGGAGACAGTCTGGAAAAACAAGCCAGGAAAAAGAAACCCAACAACCAGTACCGTTTACTGCACTTTGCTAAACTAAGAAGCTATTTAACCAAAAGAGATACTGTTTGTAAAGGTGAAATTGGCCTGAAATGCTACTGAAAAGACGGATGTTACTGTAATCGGGGCGGAGGAATAAGCATCAGGAGTGCTTTTATTCTTGAGTCTGCCACCAGTTCATTTAGTGAGATTAATAACTTTCAGTTTTCCAGTTTGTAAGATGGAGAAGGTAATGACCGTTTCAGACAGGGATCCTCTTTGTGAAGTGCTCTGAGCTTCTAAGGGTGCAAAATGCTGCTGCCCAGGGCCTGTGCCTGCTGAGCCCCTTCCCTCTAGTGCAGTTTGAGGCAAGAGCTCCGCTTGCCCAGCTCTGAACAAGATGCGAGCTAAGCTGAAGTCAGCATGATCTCGGGGACCGAGACAAAACAAATGCTTGTTTTGTCTAATCTAAGGGGGCTCTGTTCACTTTCCAGTTCTTTCCACAGTGGGCTTCTGAGTTTTCGTAGTATTTTGGTAAGTCCCACTGCTTTATTCCTAGTCAGAAGGTGCTCTCTTTCATAGTGTCATGGTGCCCATCACAGACGTTCTGGGGCTGAGGAAGATCAATATCTTCAAGAGCCCGAATACCAAAGCTCACACCTAATCCTGGTGCCTAATGCCCAGCTAATGCATCCAGTGTGGAAGCTGTGCAGGGTAGACCTCCTGTCTAAGGTGACCGTGGCTGGACCCAACAATCGTGTCAATCTTGAAGTATTTTTGAGTTGCGTATGTTTAAGTGCACTGGCCAAATGTTCTCGGTTATGCCTGCTATAGATGATGAAGGGGTGACGCGTAGCACGGTGAAGTTGCTCCCGTTTGCGTCAGTGCAGCGGAGAGCAGAACGTGGCAGAGGCTTCTCCTAGCACAATTCTCACGGGAAATGATTAGTAAAGTCTTATGCCTGGTGTCGGTAGACATCCATCAAGACTTCACAGCGTGGCATTTCTGGACATGCTCCAATGAGAAGAAAACGATCCAAACAAGAACAGTTGCTTATGAAAGAAGATCAGTGTTAAGCAGCAAATGGCTGTGTGACTGGGTGTTATGTGTACGTATTATATAATATATATCCTAATATTTATAGTCTGCATTTAAGTTTGTTCTGATATTAGTTCTTTCCCTTTTTTCATGTGGATAAAGGTAGCTGGTGAAACAACACGGTTGTTTTCACGGAGGCTTTGAGATAAGTGAAGGTCAGAATGAAGGAAAGCGTAGAAAACAACCAAGGCATGTTAAAACATGAATCCAGTCAGAGCAGAGAGCAATCAGTTCTGATTTCTTTTTATGTTTAGTGTCAGGTTTTGCGTAAGGCTAAGAATTATATCCAGGAGCTGGAGCAAACCCTGGGCTCTTTGCTGAAGATGAAAGGTACCGTATGCAAGTATTTGCCTTGCACAGTTTGCTTGGACTTAACTATTTTATTTATTTGTTAAATAGAGACAGCTGGGAGCGCACTGAGCCCAGTGAAGCATTAGAGCCAGCCGTGGCTTTAGCTGCAGCCCTAAGCAAGGGAGAGCACAAAAGTCTTATCAACCCGCAAAGCACCGTACCCCAGAAATACCCCTCTGGCTCTCAACCCTTCTTACCCCCTGCCCAGCCCAGCCCGGGTCGGGGAAGGAAAGCAGCAATGTCTGCTGTCCCGCGCCCAGGCTGCAGGCTCGTCGCCCTGC